TTTGATTTGTGTTTCAGCACCATGCTTCCTTGCTCCAGAATTCACACAAGTTCTACCTCTTAGCTTACTCCCACAGACCCTGGAGAACTCAGAGTGGTGCAGTGGGGGATTAAAAACAGTATGTATTTCTGAGAAGAAGTACAAAACCTCCTCCCGTTTACAGGGGAAATCACCAGCCCTCTAGAACAGCAAGCTGTGTGTCCACGCGCGTTTCATAATGCCATGCCCTTTTAGTGCCCTTATATCACCGAGGGTGAGGGCATCCTTGGCAGATCCCTGGTCCATTTCTGGGTAGGGGTGGGGTGGAGGGCTGAGGGGTGCCCACCACGTGGCAGCTGCTGGCGTGGGCAGCCTCACAGACACCAGCAGGGGTGTTCAGGCAAGGCCCTCCATGGCTTATTTGATGACAGACACCCAAGAAGAAATCACATGAAAGAAATGTGAAATGTCAGACCCGGAGAAAGAGGAAAAAAAGAGTGAAGGAAAGATCCACCATGGCTGTAAAACAGACTGCAGTCTTGGCTTCTAACAGGTTTTATTTTTAGGTCATGTGGTTTGGTCTTTATTTTAAAAGGAACCATATAAAGACAAACACAAAGAGTGACCCATAAGCTCATTGCCAAAATAGCACACGTAGACATTTTAGAATAAGAAACACGGGCCGTTAGACATTTGAACAGTACAGAAATGAAATCACAGGGCACCCCCCCCCCCGCCTGCTCCCTACCTACCCTCAATGTCAGTGACCATAATGGTTCTCATTTTCCTTCCAGAAGAGAAAAAAATGTTTATTTATACACCAGCATGCATACATGCATGTTTACGTCTGTGTCTATATGTGTTTGGGTGTATATACATAAGTGTAAGCATGTTTGTTTCATGTATCTCTCTGCTTATGCATGCTTGTTCATATGTGAATACAAATGGCTTACATGAAATAATGAAATATTAATACATTTTAATATACATCTACACACAACCTTATTATAACCCCACTCTGCATGGAACACCAAGTCACATGCTTCTGTTGGATTATGACCTTACAAGATCATTTTGTTTTGTTTGAGAAAGGGTCTCTGTGTAGCCATGGTTGTTTTGGAACTCACTCTGTAGATCAGGTTGTTCTTGAACTCAGAAAGAGATCCACCTGCCTCTGGAGTGCTGGGATTAAAGTCGTGTGCCACCATGTTTGGCTGGCTTTACAAGATTCTTTTCTTTACTCCTTCATTCCTTTGTTCCTCCCTCCCTGTTCCCTCCCTCCTTCTTTCAGTAATAATTCTGTCTATCTACCCACCTATCTATCTATCTGTCTGTCTGTCTGCCTGTCTGTCTGCCTGTCTGTCTATGTATATGTGTATACATGTGTGCATGCCCCCTTAAAAGCCAGAAGAGGGCATCAGATCCTCTGGAGCTGGAGTTATAAATGGTGTGAGTCATGTGTGAACTGGGGACAAAATTCGGGTTCTATGGAAAAGCAGAAAGCTGAGCCATCTCTCCTGCCCACTCTCGCTTTCTTTCTTTTTGTGCTTCTGAGGATGGAACTCAGGTTCCTACGTATATGTGGAAAGAGTTCAACCACTAAGCCATGTGCCCAGTCCCTCACTGGGGGATTCTAAGCAGGATTCTGAGCCATTCCCCCAGGCCCTCACTGAGGATTATAGGCAGGGGCTCTTCAACTAAGCCATACCAGAAGCCACTATACATATAAACTAAAAACAAACAGACAAAACCCTATCCTGCCAAGCACTGTGGTATGTACCTGTAATCCTAGCCTTAGTAGGCAATCAGATCCCAAGTTCCAGGCTAATGTGGGCTCCACAGTGAGTCTCTGTCTCAAACGACAAGGATGAAACCTCTTTCCTCTTATAAGCATCCAGCTTCAGATGCTTTGTTACAGCAGCAATGACTGGACCTAGCCGGCTGTAATGGCGCTATTGAGTGCACTGGGCTGCATATTTCCAGGATGAACAGAGACCCCAACCTTGGACCAAAAGGTAAAAGATTCAAGAAGGATGGCTCCTAATTAGACCTGAGAAAGAACATAAGCATTAAGATGTGATTGTGGTGACTAGAGGCCTGGAAAGACAGTGAAGCCACCAGCTACTAGAAAGAATAAGAATAAAGCCCACAAACTAACTCCTCCGGGGTAACCGCAGTGCAGCGGCTGCTTCTGCATCCTCCCACCCCCTTCCAAGAGCCCCTATAAAGGACAGCAAAGCATGTTCCAGACTCACTGAGCCCAACCAGTGTATTCTGTTCACGCCACACTAGGGCCACGCATTCCTCTGACAAACGCTCTAGTCTCCCTGCGCTGTAAACAGACGGGTCAAGCCTGCCTTAACCGCAGGACTGGGCTCCTAACTGCATAGTTAGTCCTGTCTGGACGCTCACGTAGGCTCGGCACGTCACTCTTAGCCTGGCGAAAGGTAACTTCTCAGTAAACACTGGCCTGTCACGTAAATGAAGCATTCTGTTGCCACCTTCTCAATTTGAAACATGCCTAATAAAACCAGGGGCACGCAGCCATGTGCCAATGACCCATGCACCCAATAGCAAATATCATGGGTCCACATTTCTTACTTTATTTTTGAAG